CTGAATTTGAATTGATGTTGAAAAACAGTGATGTTAAAGGAGTTGAGCTATTAAGCAATGATGAACAAACCCGCAATTTAATGTACGCAGATGACATGTGCTTATTTTCAGATAATATTGTAGACATGCAAAGGAAGATCAATTGTTTGGAGAAGTATTGTAACCAGTGGGGACTGTCTGTAAATTTGGAAAAGACAAAGATGATTGTTTTTAGAAATGGAGAAAGAGAGAGAGAGAGAGAGAGAGAGAGAGAGAGAGAGAGAAGAGGGTCCATTTGTTGTAAAGTCCTTGATGTACCGCCGAACTTGCTACGAGTGACGTCATCGCTAAGGTGACCCCAAGGAAAGATTTATAAGTCAGGTTACCACTGTTGAATATCCTATTGTGTTTAGATAGAGCGTGTGGACTTGGACAAAATAAATTGTGCGGCACTGCACGACCGCGTTCTATGGACGAACCACGCCTGATATCCATTTTTTCCTAGGCTTGCCAATTTCTCTGTTTTTAATCGGATTTCTGGTTGTACGCTCTCACTGCTATAGTACTGTCTTGTGGTAGTCGTGACACATCCCAAACCGCCTATCTCGTTGTTTGTCGATGTATTGCAACCAGGTGATTCCTCCAACTTGTTCGTCATTCGGGGCAGAGAAATCATCGACGTTTTAAACCAAAAAAAATTGTAATCGACTGATGTTTCAATTTACTTCACAATTCGAATTTCTCTTTGCAGATCTCTTCAGTTTGGACAGCGTGAACTCAGCCAAGAATTACAGCATGCCCTTCAGGCTTCCGTGTAGGCCCCTTGGCACCTCAAACCAGGTACGTCGTCCTCGTTTTGGTAAGTGTTTTATGGCGCTCCCAACTGCATAAAGTCATATTAATATGAGCGTGCGGGACACATTAAAACAATGTCTGTTTGGTAGGAATTGATTTTGAATTTTGCCCGGGTGGCGGTCAAAGCCTAGTCTTGTCAATTTTGGACCACCAAGAGATCTTCAACGTGTGCAACTTGCTCAGAGGACCTACAAGATTTTTCTCTCTTATCTGAGGAGGTTTTGTGTTAGATCCAGTGGTGAAGCGTCTACATAATTTAATAGTCACTGCTTCCCTTCCTAATTTTGAAACATTGTCGCAGTCAAATGCATCCATAGACGTAGATCTCATAAATTGAAGGTAAAAAAACGTACGTTCATAATACTCAATAAACAGTATGCCTAACATTCTAAACTGTTTCATTGTCACAGAAAAAGCCTGTTCACCTCTTTCGGGCCAGTCCATAAGCAGTCACAAGCTTTGGTTATGTAAGCTTAAAGTGAGGCTGGAAGAGTCTATCAAAAGAGTTAAAAGGAACATATGCAAAACACTCAAAACTGTTTCATTGCCACGTATACCCTGTTCACCCCTTTCGGGCCACAGTCATAAGCAGTCACAAGCACTGATTATGTGAGCTAACCATTACACCCGTCTAGTCTACCTCACAAATGTGGGGGGAACTAACTCCTATTAATCTCTTGACTGCTGCGAGTGCCTGTTTTTTTTTCCTCGACTTTTTACCCGTCGTATAATCAGATCGTGACCTCGATTATCACACCGGCTCCTGGCCACGAAAAGCTGGACAAAAACCGCCAAATGTGAAATAAAAAATTGATAATTGTCTTGTTCTACCAAAGAGTTTAGGCTCTCTGGTATTACATATAGATCTAGTACCGACATCTCTGCTTCCTTGCTTTACGCTTGTGTATTCACATCTAAAGTTAAATTTAATATGAGTTGGAATAAATATTTAATGAGATACTTTCCCGATTATTTTGGCGGTTGAATATACAATATATGAAATCAGAATTTGTTTTCATTCACTACTCTGCAGTGTTTTCGCCTCGAGTAAGATTTAAGATTCTTGAGTGGTATCTCCAGGGCCCTATCTGGTGCTGTCTCACTTTGATTACCCTGTCAAACAAGTCAGCCTTCGCTCCTGGTTAAATCTTAGATATGTAGTAGCAGCAGCAGCAGCAGCAACGGCGGTAGAGGCATAGCCGTTATATTTAAAGAATAAAACAGATTTCTGACAATAACAATGATTTTTTTTCAGCTATATTTAAAACGAAAACAGGAATGCTTTATATCGAAATGTGTCTTTTTAGGCAACATTTTGGGAGTTTGTAGCATCATATCTAAGGAGACTTCTTGTATTTAACGAAATGAGGTTTTTTTACGTTATTTAGTCTAGATGTGAACCTCGATCCAGCCTGTCAGGGCCAGCCCAGGCTAAGACTAGCAGGGACACAACCTCCCAGGAGAGAAGCCGTAGTACTCGATACAAGATTCTCCTCACACGGGAATCGAGCTAAACTCTTCTGTGATGTTTGTCCTTCGCTTGCGAAGATGACCTTGACTTCAAACCATTGGAGGGGCGGGGTGTATGCGGAGATGGCTGATCAGGCCGATCTTCGCTCGGAAATGTCTGTTGCGGTTTTGGGGGGGGGTGGTTGGGGCTGAACTAGACTGGAAGGAAGGGCTCTCTCGGTCTTTTCTCAACTGCCGTCTTCATTCTTTGTTTCTGGTGTGTCCTTCTTCGAACTTGGCGACTCCCGATCTTACTGAGGTGCACCAAACTGTGCGATTGCGAGCAGCTTCTTCCCATGTGGTATGCGGAACGTCACAACTCTTCAGGGATGCTTTCTGAGAATCTATTTTTTTTCTTATTTTAGTAGATGTTTTAGGGCGCTCGCAACTGTATAAGGTCATATGAGCGCAAAGGGGTGGATGTCAACAGAGAAGTCCTTACCGGGAATCAGACTTACTCTGCTCACCTATCTAGTTTCAACAGTATAAGGTATAAGAGCACCCTGGAAAGATGTGTCACAAGAGAAAGACAAACATACAAAAGAAGTAGAGGAAATGACGATAGTAAGGATTAGAAAAAGAAACAGTTCACTGTTGTAGTTCAGGCACAGTTATGAGAATGACATTGTTGGATCAGCCCATCCACGACTCTACTGTGCATTAGAATGAGAAATGCCCCCCCCCCCCTTTGGGAATGACCTAAAGACACTTGGGTCAGTAGCACCGCCCGCGGATTGGGCGGAAAAGGGGGGGGGGTGGAGCATCTTTGAAGCGGTTTTTTTCTGTCCGCCGAGAGAAAGTTTGCCTAGCTCTCCTGTAATGCGACAGCGAGGTGCTCAACCACTACACAATAAACACCGCCGGTGTACCCATAGTAACTATTGTAAAACTTTCTAAAAATAGTCGGACGATAACTTTCATATTACGTCACAATATCTTCCACGTTGTCTTTTTATAATAATATATTGATAGTTATTTTCCTTTAAATATTATTATGTTTT